ATTTACAAGTATGTCGTATAACTATATAAAAGTCTAATTAAAGTATACTCTTTACTATAAACTTCGCATAGACTATTTTAGAGTTACACTACAGATTACACATGTTCCACAAGCCAAAGTTTAATTCTGAAACTTGGTTGTGTCACAATATATCAACATTACAGGGGCGGGAGCCGGAATCGCAAAATTTCTATGAGTAAGGCTATAAGGCCTTTTACTCTGTTCTACTTTGCTCCAGTTCAATAAATATTGGCAATTGTAGTGGGTAAGTAAAGAGAGTAATTTTATATTCTACGTATGAGAATAGTAACGGTAGTTAAGAAAAAATGGTTTAAATAGTTCTGGAGTATTTAGGAGTTTTTATTCAAGTAAGGGAAGGCTGTCTTAGTATATTGCTTGTTTTACAATAAAGAATGGGCTCTTTCGTTAAATGCATAACAGCGAAAAGTATAACAAGCGTTTGGATAATGAGTTAGTGGTATTGAGTACGTATTTTTAAGTGAATAGGTTACTCATATAGCGGGATAGCTTTATTATATTTATTAATTATATATGTAATGTATATATATATATAATTTCATGTGACATATAAAAATTTTAATTCTTTCCAGCATAAGCGATATCAAAAAAGTTGATCTAATTATTCTCTCATATATTCATATGATTGTATATAATATATAATGTATAGATATATATAATAATATAATATAGACAAATATATAGAGATAATATAGATATAATAAAGTGAAATGGAAGGAAAATAATGAGAGAAATTGTAAGTTAACCTAAAATATAACTAAGATGTTCAATTTTCGTTAAGTTCATTATCACTAACAATATTAATAATTCTGAGTTACGTGTCTTTTTAGCAGAATGTGTACCTCATCCTCTACTCTTTTTTGCTTTAACACGGTCACTGATTCAGTTAGTGTTTTTTTCATACTCATTATTTTCTGTTATTAAATTATCAATTATTTCTTTGCTTTGATTTGTTTGCAGTTCATTTTTACTATATGCGGTATTTGTATATTCACTTACTTTTTCGGTTTTTACATGTTTTAAGCTTTGAAAATTTGAATCCATACTACCCGTATTTGTTATATTAATTGAAGTTAAAGCTCAAAGTTTTGGTTATTCTTTAGAGATGTTATGGTGAGTAGTTATAAATTTAGAACGGGTGATTTTGGTGATGCAGTTGAAACTTGTAATTCATTAGAATCAAATATTTGATTTTTACTTGCTGCTTGTATGTTAACATACGAGATATCTTTTGTGTATGCATAAAATTCATTTTGAATAATTTCCAGCTGACTGACAATAAAAAGTACAGATTCTTTTGGTTGGATAGAGTTTTTGAAATACTTAAATTGTAGATTAGAATATAGGTAGGTAATATTAATAACAAAGTTATGTTCTTGAGTAGTATAATTATTGTTAAGACTTTAATAATAGCATGTCATCATTCTTGATTTCTTCAGGTGTACTCTAAGGGTACCAACCAGAGAAATGCTTAATGGACAATTGTTAGAGTTGGGTATTTTATTAATATTAATATGTGTTAATATAGTAACTGTCATCTAAATTTAATAAATTAATTTAATAATAATAGTAATAAGGAATTTAGATAAATACATATTTATACCTTTAGTCTTTTGATATCACAAAAATGTTTAGGCATGATTTTTTCACTAATAGCATAATATTTATTTTTTTCAAAAATAGCATAGTTATTAGAATCTCTATCATTAAGATCGATCAGTATAAACATGACAAATTCAATATTATTGTCTTCATGTTCAACTAGATATATACTAACAGCCCACATAATAATTAAATTTAATGTTTTCTTTTATATTTTGTTGAACTTGGTTTATCTTTACAATGGTATTGCAAAAGCATAGCATAATGTATCACAATTAATTGTTGAATGCTGTAAAATGCCATATAAAATATCTGAGTATTTATATCTTGCATAATTTATACCCCTATATTTGCTTATTAAAAAAAGTTTTTTTATTAGAGTAGGGTGTCTGTAGATTATTTTTCATATGATCTACATGGCAAATTAAAATTTTACATAGATTGCAAAATTCGTTTCTAATAAAACTTTTTAGAATTATGACTAATATTTACTAAATTTTTGCAGCATTTAATTTGGGATCTCTTATTTATAGCAGTAAAATTATGAACACTATATCTTTTAAAAAATTCAACTTTGTATATTGATAAAAAATCTTAAATGACTACGAATTTTCTTAGGATGCACAAAAGATATCTCGTATGTTAACATACAAGCAGCAAGTAAAAATCAAATATTTGATTCTAATGAATTACAAGTTTCAACACCAACTCCTTTCTCATAACAATATCCAACATTATATTTTCCATCAGTAGATCCCATCTCTGCTGATTTTTGATAATATTCGAATGCCTTATGTTCATTCTTTTCAACTCCAATTCCATTCTCATAACAATATCCAACACTATATGCTCCATTTGCAGAACCCATTCCTGCTGATTTTTGATAGCATTTGAATGCCTTATGTTCATCCTTTTCAACTTCACTTCCTTTTTTATAATTTTCTGCAACTTTATAATAATATACACCTGCTTTATGTTCGTCTTTTTCAACACCAATTCCATTCTCATAACAATATCCAACACTATATAATCCACTTTTAAAACCCATCTTTGCAGATTCTTGATAATAAAAAAACGCTTTATATTCATTCTTTTTAACTCCAATACCTTCTTCATAGCAACGTCCAACATTATATGTTCCAGCTGCATGCCTCATCCCTGCTGATTTTTGATAATAATTGAATGCTTTATATTCATCTTTTTTAACCCCAATACCTTCTGCATAACAATATCCAACATTATTTGTTCCATTAATAGAACCCATCTCTGCTGATTTTTGATAATATTCAAATGCCAGATTTCCTTCCTTTTCAACTCCAATTCCTTTCGCATAACGATTTCCAACATTATACATTCCACCAGCGTGCCCCATCCATGCTGATTTTTGATAATATTTGAATGCCTTATATTCATCCTTTGTAACTCCTATACCTTTTTCATAACAACGTCCAACTTTATAGGTTCCATTAATAGAGCCCATCTCTGCTGATTTCTGATAATATTCAAATGCCATTTTATTGTCCTTTTTGACACCGAAGCCATAATTGTATATCTGCCCGAGTTCGTAGAGTTCTGCGCTTGTTTGATTCATTGTCAAAGTATAAAAAAAGATTTACAGTATTTCAATTTTACGCCAGAAATTAATATAGCATTATTTAATAACGTGTTTAATGATTACGGTACGATTCCCCGAAAGCGATTTACCCGACAGGTCACTTACCCGACATCACAAGGGTGACAAATTGCTAAAAATATATACCTGCAGCTAATTAAATGCTAACCCTAACCCTATGTGATGTCGGATAAGTGACCTGTCGGGTAAATTACTTTCGGGGAATTGATCAACAATCTGTTTAATAACATGCATATTAAACATCTTAATTTAACAGTATTTTTTCGCTGGAATGATGTGGATCATTTCCAAAAAAGAATATGATCAGACGTAAATGGGTATTTATTGTGACCCGCCAAATTTTCTTTTTGATTAAAGCGACAAAGATTTTCATCAAAAAATTTTTGTTATACTGTACAAGAGTAAATGGGGCGCCACCGGCGTCCCTAAATTATTTTAACAATATGATTTTTACCTTTGCGACGATTTTATCTTTTGTTCATTATTCGATAACCTGTTTTTGTAGGTGTCATAAAATTAATCTTCTATTACTTATAGATTTTGCTTAAGCGTATAGCTTTAATACAATCAGTTGGTTTTAGTGAAGTCTTATTTATTATTTTTTTAAAGATCTTTAAGTGATTGGATTTCTGGTTAACATTTGTTAATAATCAAAATTTCTATGGGGGATGGCAGCAGGCCAAATACGTATATTGTTACAGTCAAGGGAGAGACTTAGTATCAACCGTGCCAATTTAGTAGAGGACTGTAAGCATTAATAGAAATGAAC